GATAGTTATAATGATGGAGAAATTTTGGTCATTTCTGACAGCGATTCCAAACCTAACGTGGATTGAATTCTTGATACAGCTTGTACTTCTTGTATCTGTCCTAATTGGGTTTCGTTTTCAACATATGAAACAATTTTCAAAGGTGTTGTAGCAATGGATAATAATAATAATACATTTTTTCGGATAGCGGTAATAAAAGGGTCATAATTAAGATATTTGAGATCCTGAAGGTTTTAGTAGAGGTGCCCGTGTTGTGTTGTAGGAACAAAAAAGGTCCCAATTACATTTCTTGTTTGGTTCTACAGAATTTTTAGATATTAATCTTCAAAAATTAAGGACTCTTGTAGATTTTGAGTTTGGTATAGTACCGTTGAAATTTCGTTTAGGGTCTATATTAAAAAATACATCTTAGTCGAATCAGAAGTTTGCCGCCGCCGCCACCACCAACGGGGCCTCAGTATTTAATTGCTCAAGAGAGAATGGGCCTCCACAAAGGTACGACGAAGCTGATTTCGTTGATTATGCATTAAGTGCGGTTGAAAGTATCAAATCTAGCAAAGAACCTTATACATAAGCATTTTGTTATGTTAATTTTGTTATATGGTAGGTTTATATCATGTTTGGTAATTATTAGGTTATTTGTGATTTTGTTTCTCATGGGGATAATTCGAGCAACTTTTGTGTCCAACGTAATTCTATTGAGCAGTGTTCGGATTCAGTTGATTTTTAGTTATTGAGTTTACCCTAGTTAGGTTTTGTGGAATATGTGGAAAAAAATTTCCATTGGAGAATTTTTTGGTGGCGAATTTGTTGTTGAATAGTTAAGTTTTATTCCTTATTTTGGATTTTTTTCCTCCAAATGGGTTTTGTTTATTGCAACGGAATTCATGTAAAGGTATGATTTGTTAGAATTAGGGTGTGACCCGAATTCTATTTGGAAGACTAATTGAGAATTTTGTTTGAAATCAAGTTGGAATTGAAGTTTATTTGGAAATTTAAGTTGGAATTCAATTTGAGAGTTGGTAGTAGATTTGAAGAGGTTTTGAGGGAGTACAAGATTGATTAGAAAATGTTTACACGATATGACGGCTAGTGCACACCCAGGAGATGCTCGAGGGCTCAGAACAGGTACCCTGACATTGGCTAAGCACAAAGCTACTACTCGAGTGACAGTGTTACCGCTTGAGCTCATGTAAGACGCCGCTCAAGCGACGATGATATCCGAGCATTTTTTTAATTCCATTTTTTGCTATTTTGGACTCCTATATTATCTCAAATATTTCATTATTTATTTTACCCATTGCCTTGTAACTTCACCTTATATTAAATTTTTCGTGTTAGTATATTCTATACAAATGAAAAATCCTTGGAAGACAATTGTTTGAGTCATTCTGCCTAAATGGAGCAAAATTATTTTAAAGAAACATCATGAATTCAATCTTACTCGAATTATTTCTATATTATTTTTTTAATTATAAGTTCATAGAGTTGATTGCTGTATTAAGTTTGGGTCATTAATTTAAACTAATTGCTTAGTATGATAAACAAAATTCTACACACCTACTGCCTACTTGGAGCATTTTCACCTGGCTGCCCAAAACGATGACAACCCGTGCACGAAAGCTTCTCCTCTACAGTATCAAGAAAAAAGACGCAGACAAATGATAAACGTTATTGGTACTGTTGGGCATTTATCTTCCCCCTCCCAACTCCAAGATCAATCCAAGAATCACAGAAGAAAAGTTGCACCAGCAGAAGAATAGAAACTAGAACATAAAGAAACTCAAGAAGAAAAACCAGCAATAAAAAATTTGTAACAGGAAGAAAAACCTCTTCCTCAAGCTTCTTATTAACCAAGAAAACTTGACATTCAATTACATGAATCAGTAGAAAGAATTTCCAGATTAGTTCTTCCCCAATCTACACTCCCTACCCCAGAATTCTACAACTCCAGAATTCTACTTTTCAGAGAAATA